ACAGAGACAAAGACGAAGAATGCTGCATAGATCTGCCTTGCTAGGCTGTCCAGACAATGTCTCCCATGGTCAACTGGAACTGAGTGTTTTCTTTAACCTAATGACGAGTTCAGTCTCGGGTGCTGGAAAAGAATGAGACATCCCTCTCCAGCACCTGGTACATCAACTCAACCTTCCTTAGTATTGAAGGATGCCGCAGAGGACTTCCAGGACTGCATCAGCATTTGGAGTAGGAATGGCCACTGGCGCAGAGCCCAGGGCATTGAAAACTGGATTGATGGCCTGGTCCTGCTGCTGCTCAGTTTCTCATCCCAGGTCCATAGCCATACTCAGCATGTGCTCCACAACGCTCCCCCTCTCATCTGAAGGGGATGTTGGGTCCTGTTTGAACACTGTGGTATTCAGGGTCAGCTCTGATGGTCAGCAGGGGCTTGTGCAGTACCTTTTCCTGTGCTTTGATGCAGCAGCCATCTGTTTTGGCTGTTTCAAAGCCTTTCACGCCACATGACTGCTCACAGAGGTGGAAGCACTGCCTTGTCCTTTCTTTGAGGACTCCACTTGCAGGGTCCTCTTCCATAATTCAGGTTTAAGCCAATTGACCTGGTGCTTGTGGTTTTGTTTTGTGATGGCCTGGCAGTGCGCCCAGGTCTCCGCAACATGTCCCTCACCCAGACACATAAGGCAGAGGGATGCCCATCAGATGGGGACATCTTGCTAACGTAACTCAAGTAGTTGCAGAAAGCTGCCACTGACGTAGATGGAAAAGGCAGCGGAGAGGAAGGGGAGAAGGTAGAAAGTCAAGGGCAACTCAGGAGAGGGCGAGGAGCAGTGATAGGAAAGTGGGTAGAACATTTTTCTTTGCAGATTTTGTTTGTTTGAAAAAGAGTGAAATGGATTTTGAAGAGAAGGGAGTGAAGTGAGGGTTGTTTGGAGTAAGGAGTGAGGGGAAAAAACCAAAAGAACGCAAAATGCAAAAGGTAGAGAGAGTGAAACAATTCCCAATCTAGGCAAGATTGCGGTCAAAAAGGAACTGAAGGGATGGGCAGGAGCCCCTCTCCATACTTCCTGGGAACAGGAAGGGGAGGGGCTTCCACTCAAATAAATGCTTAGCTTCCCCACAAGAGGTTCTGTGCAGGTACAAAAGCCCATGTGTGTGAGGCTCAGACACCATGCAGAACAAGAAGGCAGGACATGTGGCAGCAAAATTGGCTGCTGGTCCAAGTTTTATCTGACGTGGAAGATAAAATGATGCTGCATAGGCCTGAGGAAATCTAGGAAGTGAGGGGAGATCATTGCAAGAAGTAGAGAAGTCAGACTTTAACTGTTTGCCTCAAAACAGCAGAAAATCAATAAATCTACATTAGCCTCCTCCTCACTGTATAGCACACAATGGCTGGAAAGGATTTTCCAGTGATAATGACCTGCAAAGTGGTAGTGACCTGGCTGCACTCTTAGAAGAAAAGGTGTGAGTGCTTAAGCACCAGGGGTCCACCCTCCAAGGAGTGAAGAGTTCATAGACAGAGTGGTGGAACTGCAACAGCAAGAGGCACCAGAGATGCAAAAGCAACAGCAGGTTGAAGCACAGATAGAAAATGTCAAGTTGAGGAAAGCCAATGAAAAGGCAACTCCCTGGAGAAGAGGAACAAGGGCAGAAGAATCAGACACTCTGCTTTTGTTGTGCCACTGGAGGAAAGTAATTGCTTTCAGCTGCCAGAGGACACCACCGGTGGACAGCTGGTGGAGGAAGAATTACAAAAGAACCTGGGCAACAGGGAGCAAGATGCAGAGAGACAATTGACCCAGACAGAAGAAAAGACTCCCATGACTGATGCCCAAGTGTGTTGCAAGTACCCATGGACTTGCCAGGAATGTGGGCTTCCTGGAGCTTGGATTGGAGATGTAACTGAGAGATTGCCAATGCTCATAAAGCCCTCAGACACATACCTTTTTTCTAATCCACATGCCAATAAATGAGACTGCCAAAGGGAGCTACAAAGAAACCACATCAGATTTTAAAGCTTTGGAAAAGAAACTAAAGAACCTTGGGGCCCAGAGAGTCTTCTCATCCATCCTCCCAAGTTCTTGGAAGGTAAACAGAAAGGAAAAGGAAAGTATTCCAGGTGAACAACTGGCTATGAAGGTGGTGCCAAAATGAGAGATTCAGATTCTGGGACTACAGTCTACACTACTTGAAAGAAAGGGATGGATTGCACTGCATGAGAGCTGCGGAAAGAATGAACCATGAAGAATTTCATCAGGAGGGCTTTAAACTGAATCCTACTGGGGAGGGCGATGAGGGCTTGGAGGCAACAGAGGATGAAGGCTTATCCACCTTAACAGAGAGAAGAGCTCCAGTTGCACCCCAGAACAGTTCTCTCAATAACAGGAAAGAAGCACACCATAAAGCACATGGGCTTTGGTATCTATACAGCAAGGCCCAGAGTATGGGAAACTAACCGATGAACTTGAACTCTTAATACATGAAGGCAATACAATCTGATAGATATTATTGAAATTTGGTGGGACTCAAGGGTATAACCTATTCAAAAAGAGAAGAAATAGGAAAGGAGATGGAGTTGAATTAAATATTAAAAATGCTTATCCTTGCACAGAAATATAGGAAGATGTACCTAGTAGTCCTGTCAAGAGCATCTGGGTAAAAATTACTGCATCAAGGAGTAAAATGAACATAATAGTTGGAGTCTACTACAGACCACCCAACTGAGGAGAAGATAAGGATGACACTTTTGTTAAGCAAATTTCCAGTATTTCAAAGAAGTGAGAGGAGGTAGTGATGGGCGACTTCAATTACCCGGATATCTGGTGGGAGACAAATTCTGGTAGAAGTGGCCCCTGCAAGAAATTCTTGACATGCATGGTGAATCACTTTTCTTCTACAGGAAGTAGAGGAAGAACTGGAGGATCAGCTATCCTTGATTTAATACTATAACTACTAGAGATGACTCAGTAGATAAAGTGGAAGGTATGGAATCATTGGAGAAAGTGACCACAATGTACTTGAGTTCTTGATTTTAAAGGAAGCAAAAATGGAATGTAGCCATTCACATACTCTGGATTTGGGGAAAGGTAATTTTAATAAATTCAGGACAATGATTATTAGCAAGGTCCTGTGGCAAATGACCCTAAGGAAAAAATAGAGTCCAAGATTAAAAAAAAAAAACCTTTAAAAAGGAAAATGTTAAAGGCACAATTCCTACAAAAACAAAAGATAGCTGACAGAAGAAACCAACGTGGCTCCACAAAAAAAGTTGAGTTAGACTAAAATTGAAAAAGAACATGTATGGGAAGTGGAAGGAAGGCCAGGCAACAAAAGAAGAGCACAGACAGGTGACACAGAAGTGCAAGAAGCAGATCAGGAAGGCTAAAGCAGAGAATGAGCTAGCAAGGGATGCTTAAAAGGTACAAAAAACCTTTTCTGGGGTTTGTGCACAGTAAAATGCAGGGAAAAGAAATGGTGGTTCAGATTCTTAGTGGGGAGGACAAATTGATAATAAACAAAGAAAAGGCCAGAGCAAAATTCCTACTTTTTGGAAAAAGGTCTATTTTTGGAAAAAGTTCATACACCTGGAAAGTTCATTTCCGGGTCTATGAACTGCCCCTACTCACTGGCAGAAATGAAACACAAACTGAAGTGTCAAGATTGAAGTTTGAGATTAAGAAACAAATAGTCAAGGAGCACCTGATTTCTTTGAATAAGTTCAAATCTGATGAACTGCATCCAAGATGGATAAAGGAAGTGGCAGAATAAGTCTTAGAACCACTACCTATTATCTTTGAGAAATCGTGGAGGAGGTGTGAAAGGCCAGAGGACTGGAGGAGGGCTAATGTTGACCCTATCTTCAAAAAGGGCAAAAAAGGAGGATCCTGGGAACTACAGACCAATTAGTCTGGCATCAAATCTCTGGGAAAACTCTGGAGAAGATAATAAAGATGTCAGTCTGTAAGCATCTTGAAGATAATGGAATAATTACTAAATGCCAGCAAGGATTTCTCAAGAACACAATCTTTAACAAGTTAATCTGGTCTCACTTTTTTATCAGGTAACATCTCTTGTGAACTGTGGGAATGCTATGGACATAATATAACCTGACTTCAGCAAAGCTTCTGACAAAGTGCCCATGACACTGTGAGCAGGAAACCAGCTAGAAGTGGGCTAGATTGAACAACTGTCAGGTGGATCCATATTTGGCTCCAGAATCACAGAGTGCCTCTCAATAGCACCTTCTCAGACTGGTGAGAGGTAATGAGTGGGGTACAATGGGATTCATGCCTGGGATTGGTGCTTTTTGACATTTTTATTAGTGACTTGGACAAAGCAGTCCAAGGAATGCTTATTAAATGTGTAGATGACACAAAACTGGGTGAGATAGCTAATACACTAAGTCAAAAACAAAATTCAAAGTAACCTTGGTAGACTAGAGCACTGGGCTGAAAGCAACAGAATGAAATTCAGTAGAGACTAATGTCAAGTTTTATGCCTATGAAAAGGGAACCAAATGCACAGTTACACGATGGGTGATACTTGGCTCAACAACACTGCAAGTAAGAAGGATCTGGGATTTGTAGATCACAACAGGAATGAGTCAACAATGTGATGTGGCTGTAAAAAAAAAAGGCCAACTACTATATTGGGCTGCATTAATGTAAGTATAGCTTCCAAATCACACTGGGTACCAATTTCCCTCTATTCAGCATTAGTTAGGCCTCATCTTGAATACTGTGTCCAGTTCTAGGCACCACACTTCAAGAAAGATGCAAACGAACTGAAAAAAATTCAGAGGAGGGCAACAAGGATGATCTGGGGACTGGAAACAAAGCCCTGAGAAGAGAGATTGAAAGAACTGGGCATGTTCAGCCTTGAAATGACTGAGGGAGATATGATAGCTCTCTTCAAGTATTTGAAAGGCTGTCACACAGAGGAGGGCCAGGATCTCTTCTCAAGCAGCACGGAGTTCAAGACACAGAATAATGGCTTAAGTTACAGGAAGCCAGATTCTGGCTGGACATCAAGAAAAACTTCCTGTTGGAGTACTATGGCAATGGAAACAGTTACCCAGGGAGCTGGGAGTTTCTCCCACACTGGAGGCATTCAAGAGACAGCTGGTCAGCCATCTAAGGGGAATGCTTCAACCTGGTATCTTGTGTTGGACAGGGGGTTGGAGTTAATGGCCCTGTAGGCCCATTCTAGCTCTCCTATATCATCATCAGGAAGATTGGGTGAATCCAGTGATAGGAATCTTTCACTTGCCCATGACTACAGAAGGATCTATTTCCCCAGCCCCCCAGGCCTTTCTCCTTCTTCATCTGAGCTGGGATTAGAAGAAAGCAACCATTCCCTTACTCCCCTCTCCAAGCGATTTCCTAGTTTGGAAACAGTTAAGAAGCGGAAATATATAGAAAGTAAGTGTTTGCCCTACTCCCTCTTTCTCTGTAGCTGCATTTCCGAGAGTACCCAGCCCCTCTCCTGTCCCTTGTGGAGCTGTAAAAAGGGGGAAGTTTTCCCACAGACCTAAGCAGGTTTGAAGGGTGGCAAATGGAAGCTGCACTCCTCTCCAAGCCAAGTTGTGGGCTAAAGAAGTAGCTTAGAGGCTTTGCCTGTGTCCTCCTTCCTCCATCACCCTCTTAATGTGGCAGGGGACCTGGGCATGGCACACACAGACAGATTTGCATCATACTGATCATGTATAAAACATGGCACAAATAGCGTATTTCTCAAAAAGATACATACCCACCACTGATTTGACAAAATTACATCACAATTACCTTTATATACAAACCTGGAAATCATGACAGCTGAAAAGAATGAATTTGGTCTCCGTATTTTGAACCAGCTAAAGCTGGATTTTAATTCTTCGATAAGGTTCCCCTTCTTGTACTTTTAACTTCTTCTAGTAACCTCCTCCTTAACTTCCCAGCTCTTGCAATGGTTGGCTTAATTGCTCTGATGTCACAGAGAAATAAAGGCAAACCAGACCAGGTAGCTAAGCATTAAACCAAACTTCAGAGAACTCCATGCTAAAGAATACTAAGCAACTTACTTGCTGTGGGCAGCCAATACCTTGCTGGTGCAAATCAGTCAAGCAGCTCATTTGCTTTTAAGGGGAAATTTACCAGATAAATATTTGCTGCTTATGGTATGCAATTCAACTTCATTTTTCCATTATTTGTTCAAGTTATAACAACCACGAGAGCAAAGAAACACTGTTCCTTTAAGCTGGAGTGTCAGCTTTTTAATACACACCTGGAGACCAGCCTGAAGTGCCTTGAGGGTCACCGGTCACTCATCTTTGTTCCAGCAGAAGTGAAGGCAGAAAAAAATCACATTAAAGAAGCTTTGCACTGAACATATTTTACTGTAATCAAAGCACCTCTTAGCGCAAGCCATTAAAACAATGAATCATGAGGAATTTTGAGGGCCTAAATTGTTATAAAATTCCAAATTGAAATCTGGCTTTTAAGTACCTAACAGGAACATTAGTAGTTACCAAAAGGTTCCTTCTTCATTGTTGCATGGAAGACATCTCACAGATGTCCAGGAAAAATGGGGGCCACATAACTACACTTTTGAGTATCCCATGGTTCCTTGTCACTTCTATCCATGGCTATAGCTCAAAAGAAAAGTGTACCGATTGATCTTGTTGGGGTAAAAATGAGACACACAGAGAAGCAGAAAATACTGCATTACAATTATTAGTGTTCCATCAAAAGGTATGACCGGTAGATGCAGAGACATAACCTTATCCATGGTGACAAGGTAGGTTTGCTAAAAATCATACGGTGTGTTGGGTTGTCTTCTGCACTGTTACCCAGGAAAAGCCTTTGCAATAAGCACCAATGTTCCATGCTTTGGGTTGGTATGGGGAAGGCATCCCACAGTGGGATATGATAAAACTAATATCCAGTTGAGGTGGGAGCGGAATTTTGGGTGAAGTAATCTCCAGTTTAAGTGCCTGCAGAATTCCCCCTGCAAAGCGTACACCAGCCTGCATGTGTCGATTTCATTACATCCAGAGAAAGAACTTGAATTTGCTCAGGTCACGGCCTTGCACATTTCTGCTAAGGGCATGTTGGCACTTCAGGCCACCAAAGAGGCCGCTGACTTGAGTGTGCTGTGCCCCTGACAGGTTTCACAAGGGAAGATGGCTGAAAGTTGGAATGGGAATTTGAAGACGGCAGATGGGGAGGTGGAGGGCACAAAAAAGCTTTCTGTCCTGAGCAAAAAGCAAGGGCAACCTGGCATGGCAGAGCGTGGAAGCAAGAGGTAGCTCAGCTGCTTGGTTGTGTGGCCTCTGCTTTTGTCGGACACAGTGGGGAGACGACCCCCCCCATGGGATGCCTCTCTTACACCAAGTTGGAGAATAGAAAGATTTCCTGAGGTTACCACAGTCAAGCAACAATAAGTTGCTCTTTGACAGGAGAAGTTAATATGAAAAGCAGGTTTAAACAAAATGCAAGTCTCTCCCCTCCATAAAAGCAGCTCACCTACCCATGTTTCACAAAGCCGGAACATTAGTAAGAAACCTGATGGGGGTCTACAAAAGTCAGATACAACAGATCTATGACATCATTTGAAAGATGACCTAGTTTTTCCTAGGATATTATTTGCCAGCATCCAGCATATTTGCTTCTGACTGAACAAAAGCTCTGCTCTCTTAATCTGAGTGCTGAATGCAACAAAACAGGTAGTCCTGGGACTTGATATGCCAGCAATTAAATCCATGGAATGGGGGTGAAACCATCTTGCTACACTTACTATGTTTGAAAGCAGAGTAACACTGCAGGAACAAAGATACAGTGACAATACAGGACCAAGGTACAAAACAATTAACACTTTGAAAAGTATTCCAGAGGCATAGCCTTGTTAATCCATTGCAGCAAATACAACTAAATCTTGAGGTACCTTAAAGACTAACACATATACTGTAGCATAACCATTTGTGAGTCAAAGCTCACCACTTTGTTTGACAGACCCAGGGGTTGCCTAGCTGTGTAGAAACGTATACCTCGACAACACCGTTTTAAAAACATAATGGAAACAACAAGTAAACACAGGAGATGGTGCATAAAGCAAGCAAAAATGAATGAAAAACCCAAGAAGGTACAACCTACCTCAAACTAATGAAGAAAAGACGGCTGGCACCCGAGTGCTGCCATGCCTAGTCCAAAGTGAGTCACACTGATGCTGCAAATACTTCTGTTCGTTTGAAGGTACCAGGGAAGTGTGACTGTTTCGAGGTAACTTTTTCTTAAATGCATAGGTTTGCCCAGTTCATTCTGATCAATTTTGTATCCACAATCCCACTGATCTGAAATTACTTAGCCCACCTGCCACGAAATTTGCAACTTCAGAGATGTTTTGAAATTCAGCCTCTAAGCAGCTGCTCTAGCACACGCTGTGCTATTGATTTCATCTCAGTAAAAACACTCTTGAAACCAGATGAGTTCAGAACCCTTCACAAGCAATTTAGTAACATCGATTTCTTCCTATTTTTGATCATTACACAATTATAATCTGATAAAAGGATCACAAAAGAAATGAAATGTGTCACATCTGCAGAACAATACTAAGAATCAAACAGTTCTTCGCTTAACATTCTAACAATATTGCTAGTCAAAAAGGAGACTATGCCCACTGAAATAATCTGTGTTTACAAACATCATGCCTGACAAACGCTTACCCTCAACAGACCCACAAAACAGTACTTTGACAAGCAGGAAGAACCATGCATGGCCATTTCAAGATCATATGACTACAGGGTTTATATAGTACAGTGTCAAGACATGACAAGATCAGTATATGTCAAAGGCAATTCAAGATTTTGACAGTGACACAAGAAACCAAGGTCTCCCAAGAGGCACTGATGTGACATTTAGTTGGCAGTTCTGGGGAGAGAGGAAGGGAATACAGTTCTGAAACACAAGACTGAAAACAGCTCGTTATAGTATTTGCAGAATGGCTCTCAAATTTGATTTCCAGACAGGTGATTCTATGCATGTTTTTACCCCACACCCAACAAATATCTACCAATATTGCTTTTCTTTTTAGCCTGATGTTAAGCTTATCTGGGAGAAGGAGGGAAATCGAGTGGATCAAACGAGAGAACACTGGAACGTTTTGATCCTTTGGTCCGAATGGCAGAACTGATGTGGCAAGAAAAGTGTGTTCATGATACTCTCCACAGTGCATTAAACCCCACTCCAGATTCGTAATTTTTTTCTACGAATAGGCCTTGCAGTGTCATTTGCTTGTTTTTCCCTTGCAAATCCTTTGCTAAGAGCTGGTATGTCTTGATTTTTTTCCTTGTTTAAAAGTTTAAACTGGGACCCAAGGCATCAGGAAAAAGTGGTTCCTCCAATTGTAAAGAAGTGCGGGTATCAATTTTCCTTTTGTACCAAAGCTTTTTTAAAAAAGTGCAGGCAGAGATTGAACTTGAGCCTTCTCAAGACTCATGTAACTGTTTTTCCACCACTTCTTTCTTAGATCCCCTACCACGCTAACAGTCGTGGTTGTGGAGATCAAGATACTAGTTAGGACTTGTTTATGGAATTGCCAGCAATTATGATGCAAACAGATGCGATTCTGAAGGCTTAATCACAGCTAACTTCAACAAAATTTTCAAAAGTTAACGAAGCCAAGTTTATCCTTCAGTTTCTTCACTGTGTCCTGACTGCTGCAGCACAGACAGCTGTGGCATGACTTTGTTTGTAGCACGAGAAAGCCGCTCTTGGTCTGTGCTTGCTGTCAGGGAGGCCACAGAAATGGGCTGCAGCAGAGCCGGCGTCATACCAGACGTGACGGTCAGGTTGTGGGCAGCACCCTTGAGCGTAAGATCCTGTGTGGGAAGGAGTGGCTTGAGGATGCTGACAAGGCAGAAAGCGGAGCCACTTTTTGGAATGAAGTTTACTTTGTTCTTGTCAGGACAGTAAAATGCTGGAATCTCATGCAAGGGCTTTGGCCTACAAACAAAGGACATTGTCACCACAAGAGAGAGAGCGATTCCCATTATCTTTAGCTTACCCTAACTTTTCAAGACCAAGGTTTGGACCTGTGAATTGTTAAAGAAACACTGAACATTAAATACATGAAAGGTATGCAAGCGCATTTGTATAACAGGATTGCTTCAGGGATCTGCTTGTCTCATGCCTGTCTTGAAAACTGGAATCCTGAGTGGCAGGATTCAGCTTCTCTTGCTTCAAACTATTCATTTCTGGCTACTTGATTTGTGTTTATAGTTAAGACATAGCACTGGGCACCTACACATATTAACATACACATGCGTACTCACAAAAATACCTTTTGGATACTGTGCCCTCTCCCTAGATCTAGTGTGAGTGTTGAAGACCTGAGGCCTAACTTACTAACAGACAAATATTTGGAGGCACATAAATGTTCTGGATCACTGCCCCAACTAGTAAGTTCTTGCCTCTCCTTTCTGCCTATGTACAGGATCTATCTGGGAAGGAATCTGGGATTTCATACAGAGGAGAACAAAATTTCTTGTCCCTCAGAGTAGAAGGCTGAGATTTGCCTTCTCCAGCTAGTGTCCACCAGATATTTAGGACTTCAGCTTTCCTACATCATGGTCAGCATGGCTAAAGGACAGGAATCCTGGGAGTTGCAAACCAAAATATCTGGGAAGCAGCACACTGAGGGAGGAAGGGTTCCTTAGAGTTTTATGCAGATACACACATGCAGAGGGGGAGGGGGTAGGTTTCATTGAAATAACATCAGACTTCAAAGCTCTAGGGAGGATATTAAGAAACACTGGGGGCCAGATAGTCATCTCAATCCTACCAGTACATGGAAGAGGAACTGTTAGGGAAAGAAAAATCTTTCAAGTGAATGACCAGCTATGGTGATGCCATAAAGGGAGATTTGGATTCTGGGACCACAAGCTAAGCTTCCTGGAAGATGAACTATTGGCAAATGATGGGCTGCACCTCACAAAGAATGGGAAGCAGATGTTTGGCCACTACATGAAAAACTTCATCAGGAGAGCTTTAAACTAAAACCTATAGGGGAAGGAGATGTGTAGCATGGCGCACCATCACCTGGCAAAGACTCATATATTTCAACAGAAAGAAAACCTCAAGCAGGGCCCAACACCAGTCTCCCAAAAAATGTAGGAAGAAAACCAGGGCACAGCGAGAATGAACTTTGATGTTTCTACACCAATGCCCAGAGTGTGGGAAACAAACAACATGAACTTGAGCTCATAGTACATGAGGGCAATTATGATCTTATAGGAATAACTGAAACTTGGTGGGATGACTCACATGACCGGAACTCTACAACTGATAGATACAACTGGTTCAAGAAAAATAGGAAGGACAAAAAGGGAGCTGGAGTTGTACTATCTGTGAGAGACACATATTTGCACAGAAATACAAGAAGAGGAACTTAGTAGCCACACTGAAAGCTTCTGGCTAAATTTAAAGGGAACAAAAAAATAAGAAAAACATAGTTATTGGCATCTATTACCAACCACCTGGTCAAAAAGAGGACAAGGATGCAACCTTCAAAAAGCAACTTGCCAGCATTTCCAAGAATGATGTAGTCACCATGGGGGACTTCAATTTCCCTGATATATGCTGGGAGACAAATTCTGCCAAGGATGGCCCCTTCAAGAGATTCCTGACATGTGTTGCCAACAACTTTCTCCAGCAGAAAGTAGAGGAAGGTACGAGAGGATCAGCTATCCTCAATTTAATAGTAACAGGGATGGCCTGGTACACAAAATAACAGCTGTTGGAACTCTAGGGGAAAGTGACCATGTGATATTTGAATTCTCAATTATAAAGGAGACAAAGCGTAACTAGAGCCAAACAAGCATCCTGTACTTCAAGAAAGCCAACTTTAACGAAATCAGAAAAATGGTAAGTGAAATGTTATGGCAACACATCCTTAAGGGGAAAGGAGTCCAAGAGGGGTAGGAAATCTTGAAAAAGAAGATTCTTCAAGCACAACTACAAACAATTCCATAAGAAAAAAGTGTAGAAGACAGCAGAGGAACCCCACATGGCTGCACAAAAAGTTAAGTGACAGCCTGAAAGAAAACAAGAACATGTACAGGAAGTGGAAGCAGGGCCAGGCCACAAAAGAAGAATAACAACAAATCGCAAGGAATTGCAAGAATAGCATCAGGAAGGCTAAAGCAGAAACTGAATTGAGAATAGCAAGGGATGCTATTGAGAATAGGAATAGGAATTGAGAATAGCAAGGGAAGACAAGAAAGCCTTCTTCAGATACATCCAGAACTAAAGACATGAGAAAGAAAAGGGTGTTCAGCACTTAAAGCAGATGGCAGAATGACAACAGAAGACAAGGAAAAGGCAGAGGAGCTCAATTCCTACTTCACCTCAGTCTTCTCCCACAAGGAAATCTGCAATCAAGAGGAAGTTCAAGCTGGAAGTGAGAGATGGGAGGCCAAGACTGAAAAATGGCCAAGGAATACCTAAATAGAATAAACACTTTTAAATCTCCAGAGCCTGATGAACTCCATTCCAGACTCATAAAAGAGCTAGCGAAGGAACTCTCAGAACCACTGGCTATCATCTTCGATAAATCTTGGAAAACAGGAGATGTGCCAGACAACTGGAGAAGGGTTAATGTCCTCCCTATCTTCAAAAAGGGGAAAAAAGATGAACCTGGGAACTATAGACCAGTTAGTCTGACATCAATCCCTGGAAAAATTCTGGAGCAAATTATTAAAAAATCCATCTGCAAGCATCTTGAAGAAAATGCAGTGATCAATAGAAGCCAGCATGGATTTAACAAAAATAAATCCTGTCAGACTAATTTAATCTCATTTTTTTTACTGTGTTACCTCCCAAATGGACAAAGGGAACACCATGGACATAATCTACCTAGACCTTAGCAAAGCTTTTGACATAGTGCCACACAACACTCTGATAAGCAAATTAGCAAAAACTGGACTGGATAGAAAAACTATTGTTGTTGTTAGTTGCAAAGCTGTGTCTGACCCATCATGACCCCATGGACAACATTCCTCCAGTCCTTCCTGTCCTCCACCATCATGCAAAGTCCACTTAAGCTCACACCGACAGAAAAACTATTAGGTGCATCCAAAATTGTCTGCTAAATCGGACACAAACAATGTTCATCAATCACACCTTCTCAAATTGGATGGAGGTAACTAGTTGGGTGCCACAGGGTTTAGTCATCTAAACATCTCTTCAACATCTTTTATTATTTAGATGAGGAAAGGAAAGATAATCAGATTTGCAGATGATCCAAAATTGGGTGGAACAGCATACATCCTAGAAGACAGAATGAAGATCCAGGGCGAACTTGATAAACTTAAACACTGGGCTCAAAGTAACAGAATGAGATTCAGTAAGGACAAGTGTCAAGTCCTCCACCTAGGAAAAAGAAACCAAAGGCGGGGAATATGTGGCTCAACAGAACTGAAACAGAAAAAGATCTTGGAGTAATTGTGACAATAGGCTAAACATGAGCCAACAATGTGATGCAGCTGCCAAAAGGGCAAATGCTATTTCGGGATGCATTAACAGAAGTATTACTTCCACATCACGAGAAGTAGTCATTCCTCTATACTCTTCAGTACTCAGACCCCACCTGGAATACTGTGTCCAGTTCTGGGCACCAAGATTTAAGAAAGATGCAGAAAAATTAGAAAGGATCCAGAGGAGGGCAACAAAAATGATCCAGGGTTTGGAAAAACTGCCCTATGAGGAAAGACTGAGAGAACTAGGTATGTTCAGCCTTGAGAAGACTGAGTGGGGACATGATATCCCTTTATAAGTACCTCAAAGGCTGTCACAAAGAGGAATGTCAAGATCTCTTCTTGCTGATGCCAGAGTGTAGGACATGGAATAATCAATTCAAGTTGCGACAATCTAGATTCAGGCTGGACATCAGGAAAAGCTTCCTCACTGTCAGAGCTATACGACAGTGAAATCAGCTGCCTAGAGAGGTGGCGGGCTCTCCCAAACTACAGACATCCAAAAAGAAAATGGACAGCCATCTGAGTGGGATGGTGTAACTTGGTGTCCTGCAACAACAGGGGGTTGGACTCGGTGACTTTCAAGGCCCCTTCCAACCCTACTATTCTGATTCTATGACTGTCAAGGAGCCCTTGGTCCAGCAGCTAACTCTTCAAAATGTTCCTAGCTCTGTTCTTATGCAGCTTTGGATGCAGCAAATCTCAAGTGACTGGGACACCTTGTACAGAGAGAAACATTTGTATAAACAAGAAGATTCACAATTTAATTCTATGTTAAGTGCTTTAAGCTTGGCCTAGTAACTATTCTCCCTGTTTTCTTAGCCTTCCCTCCCTCCTGGTGCTTCACTTCAGGACTCCCTTCCATTCTGCTACCCCCTGGTTTTCCTATTTCCTCAGCAAGTCAGCCTTCCATCCACAGTACACCTGCTTGACCCTTGCTGTCCGGCTGTGTTCTTTCCCTCACCCAAACTTCCATTTGGAGGCAACACACACTCTTGTGCTCAGTGCCAGAGGCATTTGCTCTTTGATTTCTCCCTGACAGCTCTGAGAAGTTCTCTTCTGTCCCTTGGGACATTTTAAAATAGCTCTTGATTGTGAAACAGGAACGTATCAATCCAGACAATGAGATGCTTTGTTCTACCCTTCATGCAACTCCTACCTTTGCCCATCCTATGGTTCTTTGTTTTCCTTTCCTCTCACTGAACTTTCTGTGAAACTAAGGTACTATGGGGTTCTTCCTTTTAGGTTTCTTTCCCCTAATTTGTTTTTTTAACATATCTGCAAACCTCCAGGTTTCCCTGAATCTGCTGATACGTCTCAAGTGTGGCTTGTGCAGTTTTAGCTCACAAGCACAGGAAGTCTCCAATCCGCAGTAGAAGGAACAAGCAGGAACACACGTGTTCCAGGTGGTGCCATGTATCCCTTGCAAATCTTTGGAACAAACAAAAGTTCACATTTACAACAGAAGCCCACACTTTGACTTGCATCCTATTTCATTTGGTAAAATGCCTTTGATTCCTTCCCAAATAAGAAAAGGGACAGCTGTTCTGCTGGAAGTCAAGTGGGCCATTAGGCTTCATCCTGCAACTTCAGTGCTTGATCTGGCTTGTGAGGTGGCCTGAAGAGCAATTTGAGTAGCTGTATCTCTGGCAGGCAACAATACTGCTTCACAAGGCTGCTGTAAGCTCCTCTCTCACTATAGCCACCCTGTCTGAAAAATGTGTGTAGACAGAATTACACAGCAGGGGTCTTGCATCCTACTCTCTCAGCCCCACCTTTAATGTGGGGATGAAAACGGACGCTATGGCAGGCTGTTCTCTCAGCTTCAGCCTAGCTATGCACAAACACATGTGGGTTCTCCTGTTCCAGCTGCCCCAATCTTCTGCCCTGCTTCCTGCCCAGCTGCCTCTTGCTCTTCCCCCCTCACTCAGACAGACAACGTTCCATGCCGCCAAACTATTATGGAAGCTATTTGGAGCTTTTTCATTCTTAAGGTTTGTTACTTAAGATTTTTTTTTGCTGCCTGCAAACATTGAGGATAGCATGAGTCTGCTGGTATTGCTCACTTGTGCATTAGAAAATGACCTGAACTGATGATAACATCATGCAGGATCAACAAGTATTTTCAGCCCATGGGCACTTTTCAAATTTCCCTTTTAATGGGTTATGGGCATGAGCACAGAATGGCTACTCTGAAGGTGTATCCTCCCCCTCAGAAAGCACAGGCTGGGGGGGGGGGATACACACACCCCACAGCCCCTATGTCAATAATGGAGTGATGTCTCCATGGATTTCCTCCAAAGGGCAGAGGACTTGCATTCCCCAAGATGGACTGCAAAACAACTCTAAATAAACACTGCACTGCAAGTTGAAAAAATGATAGAGTCAAGTGTATAAGTTGTTCACTATAGTTCTGGCTTTATTGAAACTCACATATTTCTGAAAGAAAAACTACCTAGATTGATTTGTAAAGCAAAGCTCAGGCAGAGGGTCTGCTGAAATAGAAGACTTTCAAGAAATATGAAGTGCAGCAATACTTACAAGCTTTCTTCAAACACTTTCACCTTCTCACAGCCCTCAGGAGGTTCACGTTTGAACATGTAGCTGTTGTTGGGCTTTGGTGAGGTGGCATATTTGGGTAAGGGAGAATTGTTTCCATTTTCTGTAGGGAACAAAATGTCTCTTAAACATACCAAAGAAAAATTAAATCCTTTGCCTTTCCAATTCCTCCCCACAACTACTAGCAGCGATTGATACTTCTAAAAAGCTAAATCAAGTTTGTCCTCTAAGCACAAAACACCCTCTTACTGGTATTCTTCAAACATTTCTGAGGTGTGTGTATACACCCCCCCACACCCTCCTATCACCATGTTATGGCTGTTAACATGGCCTCTAGAGTTTTGGGCACTACAATTCTAAGCTAAGGCACAGTGTTCCATGCTTAAGTACACTGCTCACAGACGTATATCCATTCATTTTTAATGCAGGAATGGTTATTCAGCTTCCTTTCCTCACATAATCAACCTTCTGCTTCCATGTGTACATTTATGTCATATTGCATCAACCCCGTCTTATTACTAGCTAAACCACATCAAGTTTTATGAACGAGTATGGAAATAAGGCAACAAATGGGTAGACTAAAGGTAGGTAAAGGCAGGTATGACTAAAGGCTTGTTTAAAAAAGCAGAGAAACCAGAAGCACAGCTCCGGCAATGAGGAAGAAGTAGCCACCCTCCTTGTTCAGTACTGTAACTCTCCATCCCTAGCTCCTACTTCAAAACAAGGGTCTTGCTCTAAGGCCAAGCTTAGTGCCTGCACTATAATCGAGTCATTCTACAGAGCCCTTTCTGCAGGAATACCTTTATCTCTGGGGTCCACAAGCAGGTCATCGGCAGAGCATGGGCTTTCCTCACTGCCCTCATGAGAGATGGCCAGGAAGGAGCTGGGGGACACGGACTGGGGTCTGCTGCCGCTGTTGCTGCCCTTCTCGGCTCCCCCAGGAGTCTGCGTATCGATGCTGCGGGTGCTGCTGCTGCGCTGCACCAAAGGGGGTGGTGCTCGATGCCCATCTGGAATATCTTGTGGCTGTTAAGTAAGAACATATTATATACTTCTTGCCATGCAGCAGACTACTAATCTTGTCTGGGAAAGAACTATGTTACATGTTAACAGACTTTAGCCCCTTGTATTAATAAAGCTCTTTAGCAGTAGATTATTTTTCAGACTCCAAGAGATGTCCAGGAAAAAACTGGAAGCCAAACTTAAGGAGATTTGGGGTCTGCTCCAGCATTCCAAGAAGAGGAATGAACACACACACTCTTAAGAGGATTTAAAAAGCATGATCCTGTACAAGAAGGGACCAGACTGACTGAAGTAGGATTCCTTATGAATGACCCTTTCTTAATTTTTCCTTGCTTTCCTTTTCCTTAAACAGGTGCTGATTTCAGAAATTTGCATAGACATATATTTGGTCTTGGAAGTATCATGCACATCCAGTGGAAGACATCAGCGATGATGACTGGGTTCACACAACATGACAACCAACCACTGTTCGTTATAGTTGGTTGCTTGCTATTGTGTGAACCCAGTCATGGTGACCAACATTGTGGTCACCTTGCTTCCTTTTCACATGCATTTGCAGCCTCTCAATTTGCTTTATTTTCTGGATTATGACTTCCTCGCTTTGCCTTAGTAAGCAGCAGTGCTTAAGCTGCTCAGTGACTTGGGAGGTGTTTTTCTCTTTCTCCAACACAACAGCACCTATTCTCTGTGTTCCTTTTATTAAAAATCATTCTGCTGACCAGGAATAAATTGGAGGGAATGAATGGAGAAAATGGGATAAAAGCAGGTTCTGTGACAGGAGGTGGAATGGGGGGCAAGAATTGCAGTGGATGAATCTTACAGTGGGGGAAAGATGAAAAGTGTAGCATTAATTCAGTATGTGGGGGTGGTGATATGAGTTATGCCTTGCATTCGGAGGAGGAAGGGAAAGTACATAGCTGACCAATGGATACCAGGACTTTTTTCATAGTTAGGGCACATGTTCTTGGGAAATGATGGCTCATAAAGGAAGACAGGTACAAAACGAACAATCTGGTGTGGTACTTAAAGTGCTCGACTGAGGACCTGGGAGATCTGGGTTCTAGTCCCCACTTAGTCATGGAGATAACTGGGTGACATTCATTCACAGGGTTGTTGTTGTGAGGATAAAAATGAAGCTATGCAAGTCACCTTGGGTTCCTCACAAGGGAGAAAGCCAGGATACAAAGATGTAATCCTCAACATCATCATCAGAACCATAACTGTCCGTCAGGCCCAGTGTGGTACAACAGGAGATAAGACCCCCATCCATGGTAATATTCAACGTGTGCTTGTCATGATACATGAACATGTCCAATGGGTGATATGTTAGTGTCTTCTGCTGCAAAAAATTCTCCACCATTTGCATGATAACTTCAGTACCTTCACTGCTTGCTAGTCTTTCATGCTCAGTACACATGGATAGTGAGAGGAGTTAACTGCCAAAAAAGAGGCACCAATACCTATTTGGTTGGTAGTGTACTTACAATAAGTTGTTCTTCTTTCTCTCCTGTCTCCTTTATGATTATTTCAATCTCTTGATTCAGCCCCTCTATGCTGTTACGGAAACGTGACCCAGTGGACTTGGCGATTGGCATCACTGGGACTAGCATACTCTTTGGAACAGGAGCCTGGAAATCCCCCCCACAAAAAGGTAAAAGGAAAAAAAAAAGATTCCTGTAGTTTACAACAGGAAAACTAGTCATATGATTCCTTCTGAGTTCTTATCCTGTGCAGATGGCAAACTGAAACCCTGCCTGATGGCAAATTTGAGGTGAGCTACTACAATTTATTTTACTTCTCCAGAGGATTTTTTTATGTATGCCCTTTTCTCCTTGAATTCCTTATAGGTTTAAAAAAATACACTGGTATTCTATCAGTTCAACTGCTGACATACTTAACCTATAAAACCTCCAAAGCAAGTTGCTAAGCTGGTTAGGAGGCTGGCCAGGAAGTGAGGACTCAGCATTTAGAATGCTAGCTTTAAAAATCCATAGCTAACTGTTGTTGCATGTCAAATGCTGTACACATCTGTTGGTAAAGGTTCACCCGTGGAACTATGAAAAGGAAATAACATGAAAGAAAGTATCTCACTAGGATCAGCATCTCAAGAAGTTCTAGAACAAACCATGAGCTCCCTTCACTGGCAACCTAGATCCTCCGAGAGCCCAGCCCTAGTGAGCTAAAAACATTATGGATCTGCCCCACCAGCTCAACACTTCCATTCAATTTTCTCCTCAATATGGTGCCATCAATTTGGAGACTTTACTAGTGAGTGATATCAAATGCAGAGAGCCGGTAAGCCCACTGGAGCTGATTTCTGGCCTGCAGTCAGAAGGAGACAATCTCACTGTGCTAGCTGATGACAGCTAGCATGATGCAGGTTTCAAGGCACAGTGTCTGCCAAAGGCTCAAAACTAAACACATATTTGGATGAAGCATTGAGGTGCCATGGCTTGTTTTATCTGCAAAGGTATCACTCTTCAAATCTTAAGTCTTTCTCCCCTACTACAGTTACACTTGAAATGCCATACTCCCAACCTATAAGAGGCAAATCTGAAGCAGCCTGTTCAGCAGGAAAGCCAATTGTCTTTAATTCTGCTAGGATTTTCATCTTCTTTTAGTGCTGGTAAGCACCGGACATTTGATAGAATTCCTTCCTGCCACACAATGGTTGAAATACTTTTAACTTCCCAAGCACTAACCCTTACAAACTTTTTATTGTGTTAGGTTCTTACCTGACATTGGTTAATAGCTGCATGGTTACCGTGGAATGGAGACTGCCGTTCCTTGTCCCGATGATGCCTACTACTGTGCTTACTCCTTTGCAGCTGCTGACGTAGCTTGGCAATCTGAAAGGAAAAACCTTTTAGAGAGCCCCATAAAGCAGAATGGACATTCTGAATAGATATGTCAAAATTTATATTAAGTAATATCAAGTACACTTGCAACATTGCTAATGTTAGCACAAGCTTCTTTCACAGGCATAACACATTTACGCTGTCCAAGGCAGGAACAAGCATGTCTAACGCACCAGCAGCATCATTCACAGACCCACCTCCTACCCTCAGTCTAGGCTGGGAATGGAAGCAGAGCTAAGATCCGCCTTGGCTTTGACAAGTGTGAAGAACCCCACCTTCATTGTCGTGTTGTGCAGACAGAAGGCAGGCTGGGGGCAGCTGGGGATGCTGGAAAATTCCAAAATGGATTCAAATGGCTTTGGACTGCTATGTAGCTGGCCTGCTGGGTCCGCTGCAGACCAGCCTCTTGAGTCATGCAGACTATGTTTCTAATTTTCTGAAGTGGTATACAAATTTAGTTGTACTAAAGTATGAAAGTAACTGGGAAATATGCTAATATGTCTGCCTTTTAAAAAAACTTTTATACATTTCTGATCTCTCTTTGGCCTCCAATGCATAGCATTCTTTTTTGTTTATTTTGCTCACTTGATTGTACCTGGAGATCAGAAAAATACCCCAAATGTTCAACAACAATCAGAATTAAGCAAATTCACATACATTTTCAAAGGTGAAAAATATCTGATTTTGTCTGAACAAAATCTGTATAACCCTAAGAGCATCATCAGTCATTTCCATTCCATATAGGTGGATGGCCCATGTATAATCTGTCACCTCAGTCTAGCTCCAAATGTTACAAAGGTATTGCTGACATTGCTACCTGTGGTGAGCAAGAAGCCATGCTCAGGCAACCTGAGATGGGGCAGGTTTTTTGTGTGGAACAAAATCCCATGACTGCCTTATATCGGCACCATCTGATCAAAGTTTTGCAGTACCTGTGCTTTTAGCAGGGTCTATTTCTTGGGAGTCACTTCTCCCTGTGAAGACAGGCAGCCTCAAAGGCCCTGTGCAGACTGTCAGGATTCCCAGTCACACTAGACACCCTGGTGTGCAAATACTGCAAGTTTGCTTTGACTTATCAGAAATAAGCTACCTTGTTCAGTTACATGATGATTCTAATACTAGAAGTTAAAGAAATGAAAGCTACAACATGGGATTAAAGAACTGTTTTGGGTGATGCTTTTGCAGACATTTTCACAGTTATGACAGTATAATGAAAATGGCAACTCTCATCTGTTTAGCACACCATACTCCACATGACTTATGTCCAGCTCCCTATTACATTTTTCACTTTATCCAACCCTTGCTGCATGATTCTCTTCTTAGTTTTTACACTGGGCCGGCAGAGGTGTCTGTTATCAGATTAAGAGTCAGTGGTTGCCCGTAGCAGCAGGAGTGTTTCAAGAGGACTTCTGCTCTGGGGATCCTCCTGGCAGTTTAGGGAGAGAGGGAATTTTGGAACCCCCCCCCTCCCCTCTGAAGCCTCTTGCTCACTCTGAAAATCTGCTTTGGAGGGCTGGAGGATCTTCCATCACAACATGGGAGGTGACACAAGAGGCTAGAAGGGGAAGAAGAAATCAGCCAAAATTGTTCCCACTTACACCAGCAAGATCCCTCAGTTGGATTAAAAGCCTTCCATGCCCAAAAGGCTACTAAGGGCCTCATCCTGCAAATGCACAAAGAATGAATAGCTGCCACTTTGGTTTACTCAGAAGCAGGGAGTGCATGCATGCATGTGGCAAGCAGGCAGGCATCTTGACACAAGTACAGTTAAATGTAATTCTCAACCTCTTTCAGTTGGTCTGTGCTGCCCCAAGATGCTGAACGCTTATGAGATCCTTTCTTCTTTTCCAAGTATTCTTCAGCCCAAGCACTTTCAGTCTAAAAGAAAGAAAGAGAAAGGAGTAATTACATTTTCTAAAGAGTAAATGTGTTTGAGGTACGCCCAATCAAAATAAATGTTTAAATTAAAAAAAATCAGATCTTAACAAGTCAATTATTAACAAAACTTTGCTTTGGAATAATCTGGCTTAAAATGAAATCTGAATTTAAAATAAATGTATGTTAAAGTACACAAATTCTAGCACCTTAAAACCAAACACACAATAGAAAACATGAGTTAAAGACAGAGTTTGAATATACAACATACCAAATCAGGGCACAATTACCTGACAAACACAGGCAAGAGTTATAAATGCAATGCAACAAAATTATGTATTTTGTTTATCAAAATATCATAATTATTATAAGACTATCAAAAGTCATACATGAGCATTTACTTTTAATCTCACAAGGAGAAACTGCTCTACTACTACCCTCTGATTCTAAAATTTCTGGGTTCTTAATCTATCTTCAAGTGCTCCTGAACAGGATTCCTGCATATGTAAAACTATGCAAAACATAAACCTTAATTTCATAACTGCAGTGTAAGCCGATATAAAGCATACGAGTTGCATATTTAGAGGGGTTTCAACAGGACACATAACAGCTTAATTTTGTGGCAAAAGTGTAATTGTTATAGCAATCAATCAATAAAGAAGCTCCTTAGGAAATAAATGAATTATATTAGAAAACTGATTTAAATCAATTATTTATATGCCTTTTTTCTTAGTTATTGAAATCAATTAACTGACCACACAGAACACAGTTAAACTACAGAGTTTATTCCCACAACCCGGATGGCTTCAAAAGAGTCAAAAATCATGGAGGGCAAAGCTATCAATAGCTACTAATTAGTATGTTTCCCTGTACCAGTCACTGGAGAATGCTAGTGAAGGATGCTTCTGCCCCCATGCCCTGCTTGTCGGTTTCCCAGAGGTATCTGGTTGGTCACTAATGAAATAGCAGGTTGGACTAGATCGCAGCAAGGCTCTTCTATTCTTAATCAAGTCACCTTGTCTAAAACCTTTTGTACAAAAAGAGGATCAGTGAGCTGAAGTGAGAGTCCTCAGTTTTAGCATTCTGACCAGGGACATTTTGAATTTCCACGAATAGTTCTGCTGTTAAATTCAGGTTTTGAAAGCTGGTACATATATGTGGATGTACTGCATACACATACTGCAATATGTCCTCCACTGGGCAATCCTTGGTCAGGTACAGTGGCACCTTGGTTTACGAACGCTTCTGTTTGCGAACAAATTGGTTTGCGAACAGAAAGCTTGGCAAAATTTTGCCTCCGTTCTGAGCTCCGCATCGGGCTACAGCAGAAGCCTAAGATGATGCCGTAGCCAAAAGGGAGAGCATGACATGAGGGGGAGTCATGAGGGAGCACTTGCCTCGGTTGAGGCCTTCCTGGCTGCTCACCACCGCCCTGCTTCCAAGCCGGAGGAAGGTCCCCTTGCAGGCACTCACTTGGCTTCAGCAGGGGGAGCAGGAGGCTGGAGAGGCGGGCACAGCACATCTCCCCCGACTGGGAGAGGGCCATGAGGAGGGAGGCAAGGGCTGCTTTCCATGGGCCGAGGCGAGGTACAGGGCTGCAGCCAGCAGAGCAGGGCACCTCCCACCTCTTCCCACCATGGGGGGAAGAAGCATGGTGGCCACTCAATGGCAGCAGCAGCTTGCCCTGAGAAGGCCGCAGTGGAGGCACGGAAGCCACAGCCCTGCTCCCACTCTGCCTCAGCCCATCTGTCCCCGGGCTTGGCGAGGTGGCCGCGGCTTGGTACACAGCCCAGGGACATGGCTCATGTTTTTGTGGTTTAAAAAAAAATACATATTTATTTAAAACTTTTATATGCTATCCTTTATGTATAACATAAACTATGGTTCAAAATGGATTAACCTTATTTACACTGAACTTTATGGGGAAATTTGACTCGGTTCACGACCAATTTGGTTCATGACCAGAACTGTGTAACGAATTAAGTTTGTGAACCAAGGTACCACTGTACATGTAAAGACACTAATCACACATGTTAAACTGTGGAATTTGCTGCCACAGCAACTGGTGATGGCCACCAATCTGGATAGCTTTAGGAAAGGACTGGATAGATTCATGAGGAGGCAATTGGTGGCTACTTGCCTGGCTGTGTGCTACCTCCTTCACCAGAGGTGGCATGACTGCATATACCAGTTGCTTGGGCAGGCAGAAGTCTTAAGTCCATTCTGTGGGTGGCTGGTTTACCACCCTGTGTAGAAAGCGCTGGACTAGATGGATCTTTGGTCTGAACCAGCACGGCTTTTCTTATGTTCTTATGCCTATTCAATTACATGCAACTGTAAAAATCATCACAGCTCCAGAAAGGGCCACCACATTTACGGATTCCTCAACTGGGCGGAGACAATGTACTTCAAACACGATGTCTGGGTAGATTGCTGCAGCTGTGAGGCAACAGATATTTATTCATCTGCTACCTCCCATGAGCTTTCTCTGAATCTAGCTCACAATGACAGGTTCCCATTTGACTTAATTTTTAAAAACAAACTTTCAGAAGGCAGTGATTTAAACAATTATTATGTGGAGGGAGGCTTTCAAATATCTCAAATACAAAAACTGTATAAAACATCCTCCCTGAAGGGAGACGCTTTCTTAGTGCACATACAAACTTACCTGGGTGGCTTTGTCCCTCATGCAAGGGGTGGCTTGCCCATGATTATCACGGGGCCATTGTCCAGCAAGGTAGGGTGCAGCAAGTATATCCAGTGATGGGGTACGGCGAGCAATACTGGAAGGGCTTGAAGATGGTGGTCGTGGTTTATCAACTAAAAATAATAATAAAACATGGATACATGTCTTCATGAATTAAGCTTAAAACTGGGCAATTGTTGTTTTAAAGGACTTTTATATTTTGAAATCCGTAGCAGGTAAAACATGTAAGGACATTTTGTACATGAACACTTTTGTCCCCTGCAAAATTTGGAAATTGGGAGGGGGCTGTGTAAGAACTCAGGGCAAAAGCATTTTCTCCTTCAGAGGGAGAACAATTTTTTGTACTCACTGGCATCAGCTGTTGCATGGATGGGAAAAAGATTACATTTAACTAGGTTTCAACTGTTAAACAGAGTGGAAAAATCTCCATCTGAGCAGCCAGATGCAAGCAGACAAAAAAGAAACTCATGACTTAAGCCAAGAAATACCATTCATTAGGCATCCTTCTCCCAAGGGCTTTCTTGCATTTAATAGAATAACCTTGGTTTTTTGCAGGTTCTTAAACAGATCTTTATTAAGCAGCCCAACTGTGCAAAAAGGCTCTACATATAAAAAGTTTATCATATATCCATCCTGAAGTACATATACACTAACCATTATGTGACACCATTCAAGCAAACACAGCAAAGTAATACAGTGGATTTTCCCAGCAGCACACATTGCTACTTATGTTTGAACCAGATTTTCTAAATGCTGCTCAGACAGACCATCACACTGTAAGGTTTCCTTGGGCAATAAATGTTACAAGTTGGCTTTATATTTATTTAAACTTGTCAGATTACATTTGATAGCAAAAAAACTGTAGAACCAAAGTAGATTATACATATAACTTTTTACTACTGTCTGCATTAATATCTTACCACTGCTAAACTATTATTATTATTATTTTCTGCCTTTTTCTTAGGACAGATGATCATTTAAAATAGTATATGTTACTTGCCTTGGATTTCTAATTTGCTTCAGCTGCATTTATTTCCATTAAAAATAACACTATTTAAATTAAACCTGGATGTTGATCAGTGAGATATTTTTTTCAGTAAGGGTACATAGGATTGAAGCCTTACCATTTCAGTAAGTGATTTTGCACAGAGTTTTTCCCTAATTCCCAGTGAAGTAAATTCGAAGTGCATCAATTCATGGACTACAGAGGGAACAGAACTCAACAAAAAACAAAACAAAACAAAGCAAAACCCTCCCTTCCACTCAAGGAAGTCTCTGTTAGAGAATTCCACAAGTGGAAGAACAAATTGGATAGGTAGAAAAGCCATAATTCTAAAGTACAAAATGCATGTACACTAAAAGAACAAAGGTTTTGAATTATGCTTTTAGGTCACAGGCAGAGTATTTAGTTGCTATAAACTAGTACAATCTTGTTGTTAGAAAGTTAATCAAACTGGTGATTTAAAATCATTTTTATGTAAATCAATCTAAACTTTGCTGCTAAAATTGCTAATTTTCAATCCATCTGAATGAGAATACTAAAATGTCGGTGGACCTTTCTGAAAAATTAAAAGCTATTTTTTAAATCCAGCTGCATGATTTTATTAAATTGGGATTAAAGAAGTGTTTGTTGCACTAACACACACCAAAGTTCAAATTAGGACAGATAAATGATCAAATAATATTTTAGATTATCTGTCTTTTAGCTAGTCAGTTCATTGCATTTCAAAGTAGCTTAATATAATCCTAATATAGGTGATTGAAATAATGAAGTGTAAGATAAATTAAAATCTAATCCTTATTAGAAATACAATCCATGATTGACATTAAAGGAGCAGAATCAAAATAGCTTCAAATACAGGGTGGGAAGAAATAAATGAATTTAAGAAACAAAATAACTGAATTTTAAATTTTTAACCTGTGGAAGGATTCCATTTTGAAAACAATAGTTTAAAAATCTATGTTAAACACAATGTGTTTACCCAAAGTTTATGATCTCTTGACGTTGAACCCATGAACCAATATCTGACATAATTACTATTTTGCCACTGTACAAAGAATAGCCCATGGGAAAACTATCTGTTTTTGGGATGATGACAAGAATTATAATTATGGAACAGACCAAGTTGTATGTTTATTCTACAGGAGCATAGGACTGTCAAAATGATCAGAAGGCACTAGAAAGTAGTCCATGCTCCAGAAGATATAATCATATATTCTAGGGATGTGAGAGGAATCCAATAAGAAGTAAAAATCTGACAGATTTTCTCAGCTCACCTCACTGATTCCACCCACCCAATATATTCACTTCATTTTTTAAAAAATGGGCAACAATTTGCACAATATTGCTTTTAAAAGTTAGGGAAATTTGTATTCAGGTCTCTGCCCCTCACCCCAGTTTGTGTGAATTACAGAGACGAGACCCAAATTTTGCCCAAAACTGAAACTGACTCCTAGAGAATTCAAGATGGCCAAGATGGGGTATATGCAAATGCAGTGAGAAAAGGATGCTTCCATTACTTCTTACATTAAATGCAACAACAACAACAACACTTGGAATCTAACAAGTCAGGTTGAATTTGCATAATGCATGCAATTTGCACTAACTATGCTTATTTTATATTGTTAATTTGTTTTATATTGTTAATTTATAGTATTTTAATTGATTTATTTGTGAGCCGCTTCGAGGCTTCGGTGAATGGGGCGGCACAGAAATTTTATAAATAAATAAATATGCTAAAAATATGCCATTCCCAGTTCCAAACCTGCACAAATATCTCAAGCAATTTAAATGAAGTTGACCCCCTCTCTGACATAGTCTGTCTTTGAACACAGCATTCAAATTATGAATATTTATGACAAATACATCCTATTTCATGGAGAAAACAGATAGCTCTCCAGCTGCTATAATCTGGGCACTTGCACACCAACCAATTGTCCTCCTGTTCACCATTTTTGATGTGTAGAGAGGGGTCCAGGGAGAGAAAAAAAGAGCCTATCCTTTTGAAATAAAATGTGGATGTTTTGCTTCTCATTGCTATCCTAGTGCACCAAGTTAATGCAGAAGACACAATTAGTGCATCACATATAATATGGACTTTTTCTGAAGTGGTAAAACGTCAATGACATCTATAAGAAAAAGTAAGATGACCCAGTTCACAAGATCAAACATCCTACTATGGCTTATTTAAGCCATAAAACATGGCTTGTTTTAGAGTTACATGAGAGTTGGTTTAACTCTCACATTATTTAAGCTAAGTTCATTGCATGCACCAGTTCAATACATCACTCCAAGTGCTATATAGGTTGTTTGTAGCCTTTACCATGCAATTATGGATTTGTTTGTTTGTGAAAACTATATAAATTGCAAATATGAAACTAGATTACAAATAAATTATTAAATTGGTCTTTTGGGGGGGTACATCTAAATCCTTCACTTTAACACAAATGTAACTATTCACCAAATGATACCAAGCAGAATTAATAGTATCATGATCAGAGCCATTCTTTCTGAAAACAAAAATAATCACCAAAAAATCACTATCACCACAAATGAAAGTCACTATCAAGGGACCTCATTCAGGTAAACACAACAGGACTTTAAACTTTTTCCCCTTTCATAAAATGCTTCCTAAAACCTGAAAGCCCTGAAATCTTGAAAAAACACACAATAGAGCTCTGTTAAAGATACAGGACTTCTCACAGAGCTCTCTGGAATACTGTGATCAAATGGCCAATTTACCAATATTTTCTAACCTAGAAAATAATTTCACATAACTTGTTGCACACAACCCAGAATATTGGCACACCATTACATGTGGAGAAACTACATATTGTACATTTGACACTTTTCCTTTCAGAAAAATACATATACAGGTAAAGCTAGGGCTAAGAAATCCACATCAGCTATGGGTAACTGTAAGAAACTGCATATTTAACCACAAAACCAAAGGTATTTTTTTCTGAATCCATCCGATGTTGTCTTATCTGGTTCCCTAAACTGTTTGGGAATATATCATAAAAGGGATGCTTGCATCCCTTCTAACTGTGTAGTACTTTCATTGTTATTTCTCTTCTTGTGTTGTTACGAGTACTTAGCCCCCCAATCCTTTCCCACAGCTGCTCAGCTGCTAGCTTCACATGATGTGACCTACATAACAAGAGATGCACTTGCTTAAAAGTCAGCAGAGAACAGCTGGGCTGATGAACAATGGCAGTATTTCAGCAACCTCTTAATTTTATTAGGCCTAATTACACAATGGCCAAGGGTTATAAAAGTATTCAGTGCTTTCTTAGCCTGAAATTGTACTCTTGTAGGATAATCAACTTACTTGTCTTCTATTGATGAAGACACCACTTAATTTAGCAAATACAATTGCAAAGACACAATGTTAATCTATAAAAATATGAATATATGTACACAAACACTGTGGAGTAACCAAGAAACTGGTCATAATTTCTATTTATCTGAGTTAGACTGACTAATCTAGAAATTCACATACTTCTTCCTAGATATTTGCAATCAGAGTAACCTCTCTGTAGTTAAAAAACCTATGGACAAAAATACACACTAAATTAAGCCACTGTACTGGCCACTAACACAGGCTTTAAAAAATGTGTATCATTTCATTCTGCCACCAAAATACTCTTTAAAGAGCTCATATACAATACTTCAAATATTCATATACCATAAGTATTTTATGGATAAGCGAACTAGTTAAGCTACTTGTGAATTGATTATTTTTGTATACTTATTTCCAGCTACAACACATAATTGTATAATAACTTATACAGATGATGGAGCATTTATTATCACTTTCTGGAACTAAACTGACCTGATCCACCCCCAACTAATATGCATGTTAGCTTTCTGATTATGTGCTTTGCCAAATTTTGTGATGCAATTTGCTGCTTAATAGCAAACCAAAATGCACAACTTGCCATAAAATATACATGAATGTTTATGCTGATATGGGGCAGTGAGGACAGGCAGAAACAGACATGGACTGGAAATAGTCTGATCTATCCATTCATTCATTACATTTCTATACAGTGAAAGGTCTCTATGCAGTTCACAAAAATCAAGAACTAAAATACAACATAATAAAACATA